AAACTATTCCATGATTCTATGATTCTATGATATGACCTTAATACAGTTTTCTTTAGTCTGACATGTCAGGAATTACGATATGAAGAGTTGGGGGTTTTGATAATTTTGCTGGATTATTTACCTTGCTGAAAATTATTTTGTTGTTTACAAAGACTTCCAAAGCTGAGATATACTTTAGCTCATTTTACATGTATCATGACAAAATGTCAGTGTTATTACTGTTAAAAAAGCTTTTCACATTCTACTGCATAAACACCTGCCTGGAAGCAGGAATTACCTAGTAGGTCCTGACAAATTAGATAAACAATCAGCAAAAGAATATTAAGTTTCCAGCTGATATTTGCTGTAATGTGAATTACTGATTATACACATTTACAGTAAGATTTGACAATTTGCTTAGTCCCAGATGCATCTGTTTATGTTGGAGAACAATAAACATTGTCAAATGTAGTCTGCTGTGCACCTAAGTTTTGACTGCAAAATTGCTGAGGCAATTTAAAAACTCGGGGTTAACTTGAGGGGTCTGTAGTGGGACCAGTTCTGTGTAGTGTCTTCATCAATGACACAGACAGTGGGATCGAGTGCACCCTCAGCAAATTTGTGGATGACTCCAAACTGAGTGGTGTGGTTGACATGCCCGAGGGACAGGATGCCATCCAGAGGGACCTGGACAAGCTCAAGAAGTGGACCTGTGTGAACCTCATGAGGTCCAACAAGGCCAAGTGCAAGGTCCTGCACATGGCTTGTGGCAACCCTTGGTATCAATACAGGCTGGGGGATGAAGGGATTGAGAGCAGCCCCATGGAGAAGGACTTGGGGGGACTGGTGGATGAAAAGCTGGACATGACCCAGCAGCGTGCACTCGCAGCCCAGAAAGCCAACCGTGTCCTGGGCTGCATCACAAGAAGTGTGACCAGCAGGTCAAAGGAGGTGATCCTGCCCCTCTACTCTGCTCTGGTGAGACCCCACCTGGAGTACTGTGTCCAGCTCTGGGGTCCTCAGTACAGGAGAGACATGGAGCTGTTGGAGTGAGTCCAGAGGAGGCCACGAAGCTGATCAGAGGGCTGGGGCACCTCTCCTATGAGGACAGGCTGAGAGAGTTGGGGTTGTTCAGCCTGGAGAAGAAAAGGCTCTGGGGAGACCTTATTGTGGCCTTTCAATACCTAAAGAGGGCTTATAAGAAAGATGGGGACAGACTTTTTAGTAGGACCTGTAGTGACAGGGTAAGGGGTAATGGTTTTAAACTAAAAGAGGGTAGATGTAGACTTGATATAAGGAAGAAGTTTTTTACGATGAGAGTGGTAAAACACTGCAACAAGTTGCCCAGAGAGGTCATGGATGCCCCATCCCTGGAAACATTCAAGGTCAAGTTGAACGGGGCTCTGAGCAACCCGATCTAGTTGATGTCCCTGCTTATTGCAGGGGGTTAGACTAGATGACTTTTAAGGTCCCTTCCAACCCAAACCATTCTATGATTCAGCTTAGGTTGGATCCGCTGCCTCACTCATGTGGCTAACCTGAAAGGTTCGGTTTTGGTATGTCACTGCAGATTTCTTTTGAGGTCTTCTCTTGGCAGGTAAGACTTTAAAAAAACCCCGTAGTGATCCCGATATCCTTTGTTTTTCAGAAACTAAGAAAAGAATCAGTTGTATTGAGGGTGGCACACAGTAGATACAAAAAATTTTCAGCAATTGCTGTTTGACAGATTTCTATCAAGCTTTTTATCTGCCACTAACACTCTAGAGCAATAAGTAGGTTCACTTAGGTATCTTCATGAAGTGCATTGAAATCCTCTGCTGGATAGGTATTATAGATTCTTTTCCCCCCCATTCGATCAACTGGAAATCAACACTCTGGTGCTCGTATTGTTTGCTGAACAGAAAGATGAGGGCTCTAGTTTCTTGGTATTGCTGCCGTTTTACAGCAACGAGAGGAGTAGCTTTGTATCACGCTAATCTTGCGCCTCGCCCATGTGATGTATGTCCCTGTTATATGTGTGTTTCATGCTTAAACAGTAGTTCTTTAGTTGTGGATAGTTGTGAGCTTTGCAGACGCCCAAGAGCTCAGATCTACTAATGTTAACACAGGCTTCCCCGCCCCCTGCCTTGCATAACTTGTGATCGCAGAGCCATGAAAGTATTTGAGTCCCTCCCCCAGCACAGACCGATCCCACCCGGCATATGATCTGGGCTCCATGTCAGCCGGGGCAGGCAGCACCAACTTGCCGGGGCGCTGCGCATAGCCAGAACGATGACCTTAACAAAAGAGAGTTTCTATGGGGCTCTTCCACCCCCTTCTGAGGTGGCCAAGGCCAACGTGGACAGCACCAGAGAGAAGGAGGAGGCTCTGCTGCAATCTGTGACGAGGACTGGAGCTGTGGTGCCAAGGAAGCGAGCGGTGGGAAGGCTGGTCATGCACAGCATGGCGATGTTCGGCCGGGAGTTCTGCTATGCTGTGGAGGCCGCCTTTGTCACGCCGGTGCTGCTCAGTGTAGGGCTGCCCAAGAACCTCTACAGCCTGGTGTGGCTCATCAGCCCTATCCTGGGCTTCGTGCTGCAGCCCGTGGTAGGTTCAGCCAGTGATCACTGCAGCTGTAGCTGGGGCAGGAGGCGACCTTACATTCTGGGTCTGGGCATCATAATGCTGTTAGGCATGGCTTTGTACCTCAATGGGGACGTGATGATCTCAGGTGAGTGAGGGGCATACGCTGTGCTGGCAGACAAAACTCATCCTAGACTTTTGAATCAGAAGGAAAAGAGGGGTTTCTTTGTTCCCTGCTCAAATGGGGTGTTAAAATTGGGCATCATGTTACTCAGCTGCATTGAAGGAGCTGAGGAACGCTGCAGTCTTCATATAGGTTCAATCCTAAAGCTGCACGTTATCTGCCCTGTACATAGTGTTCTGTAGGTTGTGCGTGTGACTACAGTATGCTGTACATTGGTGGAGTTGCTGCAAGCAGTTCGTACGAGTGAAGCACTGCTTAAGCCCAGAGAAGTTTTTAGAGCTAAATCTACCTTGTTAAGTTAAAAGATAAATATTGTTTGTGTGATGTAATATATATCCAAACTGAGTATCTGTTAATCCCTGTTTTAGAAGGATTAGCATTCAAAATGCGTATCTTTAATTACTGCAGCACTGGCTTGTCTTGGGAATGTGTTGTGCTGGCGAATGGCAGAAATCAGTAACTCCTTGGAAACCACGTTGCAGTTGGAATGTGCAAAATCAAATAGGGGTGACATCCCTAGATACTGTTATATTTCAGCTTGAGATGTAACTTCTCAAAGTCTTGATGGAAAGTTGTTGCTGTCATTATGACTTTGCAGGGGGGAGGCGTGGGGTTTTGTGGATTGCTTTATTCTCTCTTTCTGGATATCATTGGTGTTGAATATACTTGTAGTTGCCCAGAAAGAAATGTTACAGTCAACTCTTGATCATCTCAAACAATGGAAGGGTAGGACAAATAGGATAACCAAAGAAGCACTACAAAATGCATGTGTGTTAGGCTACCAGAGCATGCCATGGAGGTGCAAAAGAGCAGATGAAGGATAGTGATGCTCTTGATTGTGGTGCTTGGAGTACCCTGAGCTTGTGCTGTCTCAAGGCAGTAAGTCAACCTAGCACAGCTCAGTGCTGCACAGACTCGGTTATCCTCTTCTCCTCCTCCTCTGATGCGGTTCTGGTATCACTGCTCTCTCTAGCATAACTAAGCATTGTTTAGATTTGGAGGGATCAGGAAAGGTAAAATGTGGTTTTGCAGAACATAGCACTGTTGCTGTCAGAATGAGGGTGTTTTTCTTTTTGTAGCTTTCATCGGTGAGAGAGACAAGCAGCGGACGTGGGCAATAGTCATTACCATGCTGGGAGTAGTGCTTTTTGATTTTGCAGCTGATTTTATTGATGGCCCCATCAAAGCCTATTTATTTGATGTCTGCTCTCATCAGGATAAAGAGAAGGGTCTGCATTACCACGCCCTCTTTACAGGTACTCAGATCCTTTCTTTTCCTCCCTGCCTCTCGAAGGAGGGGAAGGTAATTGCATGGATTTTATCCTCACTGTGTTTCTAATCTTGAATGAACTGATCATCTGATCCCGCTCTTCAGTCACGAGTCTTTTGTTGCTGGGTTTTCACTACTCCAGAGAACAGCAACTTGTAATTGCTGCTACAAGAATTCTGCTGCAGAGGGCTGCAGGCATAAACATTTACAGCAGCATAGCCATGATTTAAGTAAGAGCAATTAATTAATTAAGAAAGTGAAGTAGTGTTTATTCAGCTTGTTATGATTTTTTTCAAGTGTTTGGTGAAGGAAGAATTAAGGGATATAATTTGTTTCCTTGCCATAGCACATAAAATTAACATTTTTAACTCAGCATGTGACATAGAACAAGAGCTGCACAAACCAGAATAGTTGATTTCCATTCTTCAGCAGCGTTCCACTATGTGCTGCCTTCCCACGCAGAGACCGGAGTTCTGTGTAAAATTCAGAACTTCACAACTTCCACAAAACAAGCCCAAGTGGTTTGGTCCAGGCTCTTGCAAATGAACTAAGAGCTTCATTTGCCTTTGTACATGTTTGAAATGTTGCTGAGTTACAGAAGGAAGCCTGCACTGCATGAGCCCTGTGTTGAGTGTTGAGAAGATGCACAGGGAAGAGAAGACACGCAAGGCTGTGTACTTGTAATGTGAATCAGGAGGAGCTTCCAGCCATGCCTGAGGGCGGTCACTGTGAAAGAACTGGACAAAAAGCAAAGTAGATGAGAAATCATGCAATCTGTGTTGATGCAGATTTTTGTGGCTACTTGGCTGTACCAAGAGCAGAGGCACGTGGATTCAGTGGCAGTTACTCGAGTCGAGGAGGCAGGTGTAGTAGCTATTGACAGCAGGCTGATTTTGGACATGCAAAACAGCTGCAACCAGGAACACAGATTATAAAGGAACCTTAAAGCAACATGGCAATGAAATCAATATTGTCCATTGGAAACTGACAGATAAAATTTTTAACAATCACTTCTTTGGGTAGAGAGGGGAATGAGTCTCTCTATATATTCCTGCCTTTAGCAGAACTCTGGTTGTAATTTTTCCTTATATGATACTAAAAAGGCTTGATTTCCAAATTTGGAGCTACAGATTTAGCTGATTCATTTGTGTACTGAGCTGTGATGTGGGACAAATCACATCAAATAAGACTGCATTATTTGGTCCAGCACCCTGCACCCTCCATAGCAAGATCATTGGTATGGTAACCCTTCCTGATGAGTAATTACCTGGCCTGTTCTTGAAATCCTAGGGGTTCTGCAGCCCTACCAAGGCAGTCTGTGCCAGCACTTCACTGGCCTTGTTGTTAGACATTTCCCCCTAAAATCTAATCCTCATTCCCTACAATTTACGTTTATCATTCCTTGTTCTACCCCTATTAGACACAGACAGCAATCTTCCCGTTTCTTTTCTAGCTTCTGTTTTAGATATTGTTTCCCCTATTTAGTTCCTTCTTTTTATATTCAATATGTCCAAAATTCTGCTCTCCAGTTTGCCTTCAGTTAAGGTTTGAACATGAAACAGGAAACTCGATAGCTTTGCAGTTATGAAACTTAAGACCTAATTTGTGAGACAAGTAGAAGGAAGAATGCACGTATCCAACACGCAGCACTCAGGCTGCCTTCCAATATCAAGACTGCTTGTTGTCAAAACAATGTGCAAAGCCGACCTCAAACATCAAATGTTCACTGCTGTGCAAACATTTAGTGTAGGTTTTCTTCAAAAAGTTATTAACAGCTTAATTATTTTTCATGAGAACAAGCAAGGATACAGTCCCCCATGAAATGCAGTAGAACACAGTGAAGGAGGGCCATAATCAGACCCAAGAGGGAAAAAAGTACAGAAAGCCCAGAATGAAATCAAAATCATGTGGGGTTTAGGTGAAGCAAATGTTACTTTTTGTTAGACAGAATGGTTCTGCCACACATTGTCTTCAGTTCTCCTGAGCAGAAGAGTAGAAACACTTCCAAGTCCTTCAAATGCTCTGTATACCAGTGTGCACTTTCTTGTGCTTCTGAAACTGTGTGCACTAATAACAAAAAGAAGAAATCATAAAAAAAAAAATTGGACTGAACACTATTTTTATTAACTTAAAGACACATGGTAGCATTCTCATTTTACCTTTTATTCTAACTGTTCTGAGAACATCAGTAAATGGAACTACACATTTGTATTTGATCCTTTTTGTTTTCTTTTCCAAGTGGTGGGGTACTTGGATTTTGGTAACTACAAAACAATGCTTTTGGCTTTATTTCCTTTTTTTAAATTTCACATGGAGACAGTATTTCTGTTTAGATTCAGCTATATAAAATACATTTTACAAAGTCTAAACTAGAGATAGTCTTGATAAAATTTAAAAAATGGGGGTGTTTTTTGTTCTGTGGAGTTTTAAAAAGACCATAAATTTCAGTAGAATTTTATTTTGTATTATGCACTGTTTCAAAGAAAATAAACTCTCAAAGACTCAAGAAAAGAGATGGAGGCCCATGTTACTATGTGTTCAGGCATTTTTTGGAGAGCTCTGTCCACCAGAGCTGAGGAGATTTTTCAAGCGATGTTTTGGTAACTGCTCATGTATGTGATTAGCTCAGTATTCCTATTTCTTGTGATTAATATCTCAGAAGTGATTATTCAGTCATTTCTAGAGGGGATCACATTGAGGGTATTGTGTACTGTTTGTTTATTTTATCAATGCCAGTAGATCTTTTTTCTCCTTTTTTTCCCACCCCCGTAGGTTTGGGAGGAGCCCTGGGTTACCTGACAGGTGCTGTGGATTGGGGTCAAACTGTACTAGGGTATTCCTTGGCATCAGAATTCCAGGTGATTTTCTTCTTCGCAGCCTTGGTTTTCCTAATCTGCCTTACTGTACATCTGCGCAGTATTCCTGAAGTTCCACTCAGATACGAAAATGAAGAGACAAAGTTCTTGTTGGAAGTGACTGAATCCTATAAATATAGCTCCATAGAGGAGGAAATAAAAAATGGTTACTTAAAATCAACATGTGCTGAAATAAAGGCTGCAGCTGGGAAATGTGCTGTTACATCACGTACAGAGGTAAGCATAGAGATGATTTTGTAAGCCATATTGTTGCATCTTTGGAGACCCTTTAATTCGCTAATGCTGACTATTCGGAATGGAGCCCTTTCACACACGCAGAGAAAGAATCCTCCACCAGGATACAGAGTCAAGAGAAAGTCTGCTTTCTTTTCTCTTTTTTTTTTTTTTTTTAATTTATGAAGTATTCTTCCAGCAAGAGGGAAGAGACAGACTAGTCCTGATGCTTTGAACAATTGGCAGGGATGAGGGAGAACCAGGGTCAGGTTTCTGCTCTGTGTCAGTCTCTTGATATCCATGTGAATTTTGTCAAAACGATCTACTTTGTCCTTTAGCCCTGATAGAATTAACATTAAATTGTCAACAAGGACTACAGACAATTAAATTTTGAAATAAATCTCTAATTCTCACTGAAGTTCACAGTCTTTCATACATAGTAGATATGAACTGTTTGTTCCCTGGCCAAGTAAACATTTGGGTTTGCTGCTGCTCAACGTTTCACTGAGGTTTTATTGACAGTACTGATGTGTTTAAAATTGCTGCTTCTAAAGCAACGCTACCTTGCTTCTGGAGTTTTAGTTTTATTTGGAAGTGATGTTTTAGCTCTGTCTTCAGCAGAACTTTTAGGTGGGAGAGAATAGCAAGCACTTTCAAATCATCACTGCTGCATTTTTATGAAAGATTGCATCAATCTAAGGCAACTAGGAAAAAGTGAATCTACCTGAAATGTGCTCTGGGGAGCACATTTCTAGAATGGTCTTTGGAACAGGTAATGGTCTTTACTGGTTTTTTGTTGACTTTTAGTGCTAGGAATCCTCACTGCACTCTCATGGTACCCTAGGTAAGCAAAGGCTAATGTGTAGTTTGGCTCCTAGTATAACAATAAGTGGTGAAACAGTTGCTTGTTATTTTAATTTCACTTCTGATCTCTTGGCATTATGTATGTCTATCCCTGATACAGATGTTGATAAATCAAGTAAAAAATACTGAGAATGTGCAGACAATTCTAAGTTAGAAGCCTAAACTCGTGTTTAAGCTACAAATAAAAGGGATTTATTATCTTTCACTGTTTGTCATACGTATTATAATAGCACTTGGTATTCCTAACTGGAAGAAAAATATTATTACACCAGATACAACACAAAAGTAGAATAAAAAATGAACACTGCCTGATGAGAATGCCAGGCAAACACAGAGAGGGGCAGACAGCAAAGCAACAGTTTGTCAGGAGAATATGGCTGGCACACCGTGATGCTGCTCCTGTTTCCCCACCGTAGGCCAGCTCCAGCAGCCAGCATCCTTCACCAGCACTGTTCACTCTGAGCGTCCTCCAAACTGTCAGAGATGCTGAGTGTCATTGACTGCTTGGCTCATGTGGGCTCTAAAGAAAGGACGAGAGAGCAGATGCAGTGAAAGCGAGGGCAGCAGACTGTGGATCGGGGTAGCCTCTACCTTGGCCAGAAATAATTCCACTGAATCAGTAATGTCTGACGCCTGAGGTGAAGCTCAGTGGCGTCCACTGTGCCATTGCCCTCCTCTCTATGCTTTTAGCTGGACAGCCTGTCAGAAGCTCACAGTGCTTTGATCTGTCCCATGTTGCTTTGATGTGTCTGTGCATGTATAAGTTCTAGATGCTAACTGCCTTAATGGTCTGTCTCTTGTGGCACGTGTTTTCTGTGCTCATTACTATAAGTGCTTCCTTGAAGAAATGGTTTGGCTTCCTGTTTTTCTGTGTCCTTTTTTTTTTTTTTTTGCTGCAGGCATCATGGCCCTGTATCTTCTAAATTAAGGACTGTGTTCTTACATGCTAATAGCTGCCATGATTATTAATGAGATTTGACCTGTTACAGTATGAGCAGAAATCCAAAGTGATTCATTTTTTGTTCTTTAGTTTGGTGCCAAATTACTCAGCATCTACTGCCATAAACCCCAAGTCTTTATCTTTATGAATCATCTTAGGCCTTGAGATGTAGTGATTTTATAGTGAGCATTTGAGGGATAAGGAACTGAAATGGAGCCAGAATTCACCATGCCATTTTAATTAGTGCAGTGTTTGTGTTTTGGTGTGTATTGAATGTGTGCATTAAACATTTCAGTGACCATTTCCACTCTCTAAAATAGAAATCAAGCATTTCTATCTAGCTGTCAAATTATTGTTTGTAATTACAGCAGTGTCCTTCTTAGTTCCCTGACCTTATGTTAACACTTTGATTGGAAAGGCTGTTACAATAGTAATTATCCTTGAAATAACACTAATGAGACAATGTGGAATATTTTGTTTGGTTTTGTTTTTTATAACGGTAGAAGAATAGAAAGTTTAGCCTGTTTAAAAGAGACAGTGATGCCAAGAGAAATTCCAAGGGATTTGGACAATACGCAGTTCAAGGTGAAAGTCAGCAACTTGAATTTTGGCATTCCTATGAGGATTAAAAACCTCCCACTGAAGCAAAGTATTTTCCAACTTTATATGTGCTGATTATTCATACAGTAGCTTGCAGCATAACCTAGTTCAAAGGAAAGTAGTGTTGTGAAAAGTAAGTAGAACATGGAAGGAAGGAGGGAAGGAGGGAAGGAAGGAAGAAGGAAGGAAGGAAGGAAGGAAGGAGGGAAGGAAGGAAGAAGGAAGGAAGGAAGGAAGGAAGGAAGGAAGGAAGGAAGGAAGGAAGGAAGGAAGGAAGGAAGGAAGGAAGGAAGGAAGATCATTATCTTACAGCAAATTAAAGACAAGATTCAGCTTTCCAGTAATGAATGTAACTTTTACAGTTCTTCCACATTTCATGACCATACAGCTTCCCTTACCACCTCTCCCAACACTGTTGCCTTCAAACATCATTACAGAAAATTGGAAGTGTTCCATCATGCACAGATAAAATAATACCTTTCTTCTTTAAAAGCAAAGAACCATGCAGGAGCTTTAAAGCAGTAAGAATTGTGTGTTGCAAATGCCTGACATCAAACACACCTACAGTACTAAAAAAAAAAAAAATTCAAGTGATCTGATGAACGTGACTGGAAAAGAAACTCAGAGTTTTGGGGCACAAGGTTTAGACAAAGAGGAGAGAGATAAAGTGGGACATTGAAGGTGGTGAGAAATTTTGGGCTTCCCTGTCAGTGAGATTTGTTAACTGGCACCAAAACGCTTTGATTTTGGAAATATTTTTCCCATGGGGTGAGGTGTTCAAGTGCTGGAGCCCTCGTGCATGCTCTGGGTGCTGGGATTTTGAGTGGTGCTGCATCTCCTGTAACGTCTCACAGTCTTACCCTGCTTCGTGGAGGGGAGGTCAGTACAGACTGTAAATCTCATTGTAAGGATACATCAGAAGAGGTGAAATTTTCTAGGGAATTTAGCACATAGGAGGGAATGGGAATGAAGTCTCAGAAGTGCCATATTCCACAAGTGATACATCTTAATTCTCAGGAAGTATTTTGAATTTCTTTTTTTCCGTGGCAGCTTTAAATTTTCAATGGAAAGCTCATTGTCTCCATAAAGAAATTACTGTTGTTTCTGGTTTTGTTTTGTTTTGTTTTTCAAAACTCCACTGAATCTGTTTTGGCAGAAAGTTTTCCTGTGGTTCTACAAGTAAGTAATAATCCTACTGATTACAACAGCAAGACATGTTATATCATTGCTGATACACCCCAGCTTTCCCAGAGGCTCTGTGAATCTTTCAGATTACTTTATTAGGCAATGGCTCTACAAATGAAATATATAGTGAAGGATGTTCAGTATCCAAGCAGCCCTTCCTAGCAAAAACAAATTAAAATCTTTGGAAGTTTGGCAATGAAAGATGCTGAGGCTTTCTTCATTTGCTCTCAGCTATTTTATTAGCCTTCAGGGCAATAATACAATATTATTGTTAAATACTTGCTTTTAGGATCAAAGGCGGATGACCCTTAAATCACTCTTGAAGATGCTTTTAAGCATGCCATCCCACTATCGCTATCTGTGTGTGAGCCACCTCTTCGGATGGATGGCTTTCCTGTCCAACATGCTCTTCTTCACGGATTTCATGGGACAGGTAAAACCGTAAAATCCTCTTGCTTCTCCTTCCTCCTAGCATCTCCTCCTCCACCAAAAAGAAGTGTGACAGTTTTATAATCCTGAAGAAATGACAGTGGTGGCAGGGCCAGTTGTATCTGGATGGCTGAACGAGAGCTTTGTAAAACGGCTAATTGATCTCAGGCCCTTTTTCTGAGCCAGAGTCTGTTGGAAAACCTTTTAGTATTTCTAAGACTGTTTGTGTCTATTTAACTGCTTCAAATGAAGCCCTCGGAGCTGTTCCAAACACATCCATTCTCTGCTGTGGCTTCGGAGCTGCTCCGAGATGGGCAGTTTCCCTAACTGAAGCGATGCTGCTGTTGCCTGGATGCAGCTGGCATCATCGTGGTGCACGGGCACCGTCAGCACAGGCCGTTCACCTGCACTGCAGCTCTTTGCACGCAGTGAGCTACTCGGCAGCTCAAGGCTCTCGTATCCTTGAATTTGGCTGTCCCTGACGTACCTCTTTGAACCTTTCCCTGAGTCCCTTCTGCCAGCAATTCTTTGCCTTCGTGAAAGCCAGTGCTCCCTTCTCCACCCTGTTCCCGGGCAGCAAGACCGTATGTCCCTGCCAGTGATTCTTGCCTATACGATCCTGTCTCCTTTCCTCCAGGGTACAGATATGCTCCTGGCACAAATCCTGTCATTGCTACTTGCTTTTTTCCTGTGGTTTCCACCCAGTATTTCCATTTCCTTGGGGTTTTTTTAATCTCTGTAGGCGAGAGGGAGGGTTTTTTTCCTGCAGTGTATATGAACAACTGAAATAAAAAGTTTTGCTTGCCTAGATAAGGAACTGAGTAAGACAATTACTGGATGGGGAAATGAATGTATTGGTGTACGCCTGAAAGAGAAAACAAACAACAAAAAAATTGTAGATAAATTCGGGAAAGAAAGGCTAAGGCAAGAAGGCAGAAGTGGAGAGAGAAGGAGAGTAGGAAATAAGACACCCAAAGGAAAAAGAGCAAACAAGTCAGTGTAGAGTGGACAGTTCAGGAAAAGGCGGATGGTAATAAATAAGGAGGAGCCTGGGATGTGAGAACCTGGAGTAGTGAGTATGAAACCTGAAGATCTGTGAAGGGATGGTTAGGGCACTGCTTAGCAGATTTTCTGGGTGCTAATTATCTCCCCTACCAGGGATGAGGCCCTGTGTTGGGTATCCCATTCCCATAAGAAGGAGGTGTTATGTATGTGCAGTCCATCCTTGCCTTCTGTGATCTCTGTGGTCTCTTTCAGGTTGTATACCAGGGTAGTCCTTATGCACCTCATAACTCCACGCTTTACCTTACCTACAAAACAGGAGTAGAGGTGGGATGCTGGGGGCTGTGCATCAATGCAATTTCTTCATCACTTTATTCTTGTAAGTACCCAGGAATGTACTCCAACTGTGTTTTGAAAAAGTGTTTAAACTGTTTGCTATTTGCCATTGTTTAAAAAAAATAAAGTGATGGCAAATCAACTGGGATTTTTCTTCCACATTAAAACTTTAAGAAAAGTTACGTTCTCTGTATTGTTAGAAACTTGTATCTTAACATGAACAGTTGCTGACCACATGATGAGGGGTCACTTTGGGAGTAAGGCAATGTTCTGCATGTGAACTGACCCTGAACACTGAAAATCATCCTGAAGCTAAATGTCAGGCTAAAATGGGCATCACTCTGAGATGCTCTTTCACCTAGCACTGCTGTAGCTATAGGTTCTTGAAGGTCCCTCTGATGGCCTCTCCCCATCTGCATTCCTCATAAAATAATTTTTTCACAGTGCAGTAGAAGTTCTTGCCAGAAGCATCAACCTTGCTGTCCAAAATTATGTGTAAATATGCTAGCACAGTTACCCAGACAGATTTCACCATGGCTCTTACCAAGGTTTAAAAAAATTACTTGTGATGTGAAAATTCAAATGAATAGCATTTTGGGGGCTGAATGGAGCCTCTAAAAGAGGCTTGAGGGAAATCTTTTCCCCTTTCGAGCTTAACTACAGGCATTTCTGTAGCACCTTTCTCAGCTCAGGCAGAGGTTGATGCCAGATGTTTGTATTATAATCAGAGAGCAGAAATGTCTGAGGTTGTCAATGAGGGCAGTTCTTCCAGAATGGTTGTTAACTACTTCTCTGGAGGTGGCTGTGCCAGAATAAGACTATCACCAGAGACAGGAAGTATTCTTTGGCAAGTTTATACCTACAATAATTTGAGGAAACTTCCAAAATTGGTAAGATTAACTCCTTCATTGCATTTTACAAAATACAGCCCCTTAAAGGAACTTTCTGATGAAACGTGACCTGTTTTGTTTCAGTCTTAGCATTTTCACTTGCTTTTCACAGACCTGCAGAAAATCCTTCTGCCATACATAGGATTAAAGGGACTTTATTTCATTGGATACCTACTTTTTGGATTGGGTACTGGATTAATTGGCTTGTTTCCCAATGTCTATTCCACTCTGGCTCTGTGTTCCCTCTTTGGTGTGATGTCCAGCACGCTGTACACAGTGCCGTTCCACCTCATTGCAGAGTATCACAGGGAAGAAGAGGTGAGTTCCATGTCTAAGAAAGGGTAAGTTTATATCTCTCTGGGTCTGTTTAGTCTATTTTGGGACAAAACTGGATAGAACTAGTGAGCAGCTTTTAATTTGAATTTCAAACTAGTTATGATGACACATGTTATGAATGGAAAGTTTCTGACAGCGAGAGTTAAGGTCCCGGCTCCAGACTCTCCAAAGAGTCCTGCAGTGAGACAAATAATTATTCATAATCATAACTGAAACAAAGCCAATCACAATACATGTTCAGGCAGCAAGCAGGTAACAGGGATCCACTTGTGTTGCCTTCAAGTGCTTCCTTCCTTATATCCTTCCTTCCAGCTGTATTAGCTGAAGACTTGACTTCTGAGTTCCTAAAGTTAATAACCACACTGTAAAGGCTGGCAGAATTTTTAGTTAACTGCAAAGTGTGACAAAAGCTGTTAGCTAATAAATATACAAAATTCAAGTACAAACAGTTTTGTATAGTTCAATATTAAATTATATACCACATTCCTATTATCTCTCTGAATGTCTGTGGTTGGGTTTTGATCCTCCACAGCATGAGATCTTGTTTCCAGGGAAAATCTGAAAAAGCTTACATTCCTTATATCATGTTACTGGGCACAGCGGGATCTTCATGTCTTGTAAAGTGTTGAGGTCTTTAACAGAAAGATTCTCTTAAGCCTCTTAAGTTAGTGAGAGAGCTGGAAACAAGAAGGATTAAGGAGAGTTGAGAGGACTTAGGAAAAGTTCTCATTACAGCTGGAGACATTTGAAGAAGTTAATAAAGGAAACATTGAACTGTTGAAAAACCACACAGAAACATAGTTGAGACCAGCACAAGGCTAGATCATGTCCTTGAGAACATGTCCTAATGTTCTGTACAACCTTTAAGCATCACCATCTGAATGACAATATAAGAAAACTCTTATTCTATTGAATCCTAGGAGGTTGTCTCAATGTGGTTAAATATTTCATAGATCTGATTCCTTATTTTTAGTTAATTTATCTGTTTCTTCCAACAGACAATGATCATGGCGAAAAGTTTTAGAAAGAACAGGGAATGAACCCAGTTTAGGGTGAGATCACAATCCAAACCTTGGGCCAGCCAACTTCAGAGAGAGGAATTAAAGGCAAAATTGTAGTCTGGCTCTGATTCAAAGATGTTCCAAGACAGAAATGAAATAAAATATGCTTAAGTGTGCATGGACTTTATATTTAACAGGCTAATATATTCAAATGTTACTTGTAAGACAACCAATTGTTTCTCATTTGGTGGATGATACTTGCTGTGCCAGGTGTTAAATGATACATAATTTTATATTAGATCTAATATTAACAGAATTAGGTTTAGCTCAAATCTTCTATAAGGTACAAGATGATAGAAAAATTAAAGAGGAAGCATCAAGTGCAAGATTGCACTCATTTACACATTCATGTAATTGTGGTCAGAACTGCTGGCTCATAGGAACACTGGGTACAGCCCAGCAAAATAGATTTAATTAAAAAAAAAATAAAATTGTGTCTAAAACTGGAAATACTTCAGGTGAAAGAACTGTATCATTCCAGAACAAAGAGCTGACATTTTCCCTCACTTTGCGTTCTATTTAAATCATGCATTGTGTTTTAAAATGCTGCTTTTCAACTTATGTTCCATGCTGCTGTTCCCTATGCTCCAAATTCAATTTTGCCTACTGCATTAGGAAAAGACTGTCTCTGGTACTTTTGAGCTTTGTGTGGTAACAGCTCAAATGCAATGTAACAGATTTGTGAAAAGCAAGTATCTTAATGGCCAAGAGTGTTTGGATACCAGAAGACAGCAGTACATCTATCCTACAGCATGGAAACCTCTTGTTTGTTACAAGACAACCTTCTCCTTTCAACAGCCTATGCAAGAAGAACAATAAATATGTAAACTATCACATAATTTCCCAACAAAACAGAATAGTTCCTTCCTGGAGGGAGTCACAGAACAGCTGAAGATAGAAGGGACCTCCAGAGATCATGTAGTCCAACCCTGCTGCTCAAGCAGGGCCACCTGGAGCAGGTTGCACAGGGCCATGTCCAGTCTGGTTTGAGTATTTCCAAGTATGGAGACTCCATAACCCCTCTGGTCAATCTGTTCCAGTGTTCAACCACCCTCACAGGGTGCTTTTATATGAGATGCTTATATATGATAAATGAAGCCTTTTGCTCTGGTATGTATATCATAGCAGATACACAGATAATCAGTAGTTAATAATGGTCTTCGGTAGTGTAGAAGAATCCTAGTCTGGACATTTGTTTTCAGATTCTTTTTCCCCAGCAATAAATGCATTTAATTTAGATTTTAGTACTGAACTCCTTGATGTGCTTTGAGCCATAACTTCAGTGCACAGTGCTCCATATAATTAATTATGGTCTGTATGTGTGGGGGACATAGTATGACTTGAAGCTGTCTTTCAGTCATGAGAGTTGGAAATAAATTATCCATGACAAGGTGTCCTGTACTGTGAAATGTCAGTGTGCCAGAGCTCAAATAGACCTGAACTTGAAGGAAACAGCTAATTTTTCTGATCAAGTTTCAATTCTTTCCTTGAGAGAAGGGATAGAGGGAAAAATTGCAGTTGGGCAGAAACAGAATGATTTGAGGGGAGCTTGGAAAACTTATTATCATTTGTAAAATCTCTGTTTGGGTTCTGTCACCTCTGTGGGACAAGCAGAAGAAACCGAAGGGAAGCAGAGAGCTGTTGGCCCGTCTTGCTGCACCTGGGGTCATGACAGTGCATTGGCTGAGAGCTGCAAGTTATCAGCAACTGTCTCGTTTCACCGGGTTTTGTTTTGTGCTTCTTTGCAGAGCCTGAAGCTGCAGGATGGAGAACAAGCTGGAGAGCACGAGCGAGGGAAGGGCATTGACTGTGCCGCCCTCACCTCCATGGTCCAGCTGGCCCAGATCATTCTTGGTGTGGGCCTGGGGCTCTTGGTTAGCATTGCCGGCAGTGTGGTCACTGTGATTTCGGCATCTACGGTGGCACTGATCGGCTGCTGTTTTGTTGCTTTTTGTGTTCGATATGTGGACTAGGACTGTGTGAAGCAATTGGAAGAAACCTGCCCAGGGGCGCGTTTTCCTTCTGGGCCACTAGCACTGGTGCTGTTGTCGTGCTGATACTGCTGGCACGTCCTCCGCTCCTGCTCCTTGGAGCGGTTGCAATTCCAGAGCTTTACAAAATGAAGACTTGATAAAACTGGTTGCCTAATGCCTCAAATTGAAAGCTTCTGTATTTTGACTGCTTTATTACTTCATTCCCGCTGACCTCAGTGTGTTGACACACTATTACACATGACGATGTGTATGCCCATGGTATCTCGATGCCCTGCATGAGGAATCATTATGAAACTCCTCATTAGCAATGTATGGCAGTTAATAGATGAAGTATGTGATAAATTGAAGAAGTAATACAAATGGAGTTAGGAAGAAAGTTTTTATTTATCTTGTTTTTGAAGTATCTTAAGTTTGGGGCTATTCCCTCTGGTATTCAAAAGCTGCAGGAGGATCAAACAGGTGTCAGAGGCCATGCAGGGTGCAGTTGTATTATGAATAGTAGTCATGTTAAATGGGATCAGTTAATTCTCAGCTACTGTCAAAAGCAGATTTGGGTGTGAAAGATGATTGGAATATAAACAAGATTGAAGTCTACTGTTTAAAAGCATAACTGTAAAGTAATTGTTTTATACTGGATCCTGCTGCTTCTGTATAAGCGCAAGGAAAAGCACTGACTGAGCTTGTCATGAGAGTCTGCCTAAGGCTGCTCTGCAAATCCATGTGTAGGCACCTAAACCATCCATCTATGGTAAACAGCTGCCATTTCTTCCTTCTTAAAAAACTGGCCTCTTGACTTTGATACTGTAATTGAAACAATAATCTTGGCCAAAATAAGAATTTTATGACTGGTTGTAAGCCACTTAAATCTTGACATTGGATATGACAGTATTTACCTTATAGTAGCATCTCTGTATTCTCTCTTTTCCTTCATGCATCTAGCTTTGAGTGAAATGGCTTTTGCTCTTTACAGAATGCTGTAAATAAATTCAGTTCTGCAAAGCACTATCAGGCATTATTGTACAGTAAATACTTAAGCCCAGTTATTTGTATTTAATTGCATTGAATGAAGCTTCATTCTTAATTTTAGAATATTGCCAGAGTTTTAAAAATCCTGTGTTTGTGAAAGTGATACACTGTATTTCTGCTCTCTCTCCTCTGTCCTGAAAACTGTCATATCCATTTGCTATGCTATATGCTAAGCCACATGAAGCCATCTACTAATGCAATACTGTTAATGAACAGTGACACAGAGAGACTGTTGCCAGGTATGGTGTTGTTTGTTTGTTTAAATGTTGCACCTGTATAATCAACACTGTTCAGTCAAGTGCACCGTTGAGCTGATCAGCTCTTGCAAGCTCTGCGGGATAAAAGTGGACAACACCACAAATGAATGGCTAGATTTGAGCATAAGGTGCCTCTGCAGAGATGTGCCAACTTCATCCTTTTAGTGTTTTTTCAAGAGTAGACTGAGTTATTTATTCTCAGGAAAAACAATTTTCCCTTAGGCAAACTCTTACTAATTATAATGAGCCCATGGCAGCCTCAGCTACCTTTTTTTTGTTGATGACTGTGTCTCCACTGTACACCCAAAATGGTCATCAGTGCATGGCAAACCTTACCTTTCCTCACAGCTCCTTCATCCTGCCTTATGAGAAAGCCACTTTTTATGGTTTCTTTCATTTTGTGGCTCTTCATTAATCCCCCACCTGTCACACCCATGGAAGAGAACAGCTTGAAAAACCGAGCCCCTGGACTGTGCTTGAAACACTTTGTAGGTGCTGAGATTGCTGGAGCACAAGGGTCTCAGCAGGGACAAACAGGAGAAGGCCAGAAAATGGACGGTTGTCTTCTCAATTAGCTTTATGCTATTGTAACTCACTAACTTCCACTCCTCCTCAATATCTCAATATTTTTAAGGGAAGAGAGAGGCTTCTGTGGAGCCATAAAAATAGAGAAAGGAGGAGGTGATCTGTTTTTATAGGACTGCAGGACTTGAAGCACCATGAAAACCCCCTCTCCAGGCTCTGAGGACATAAAGCTCCAATTCCAGCATGAGGCTGGGAAAGGAACTTTGCAATGTTTACCTATGTCTTTGTCAATATTTTCTTTGAGGTTTAACTCGATCAGAACATTAAAATTTGAATGGTCAGTGCTATCTCTGCTCTGTTACATGAAGAGAGAGCTGGCATTGATTCAGGCCCATGGAGTGACTGTAGATCTGCAGCAACATAAAAAGAATTGTAAACCTCCAGAGAGAAGAGAGATGTGACCACCATGTATATCAATGCTTCTATTTACAAGTTTATCCAGAGAAAACTGTTTCAGGAACTCACATTATCATCCTTCTCATGATCTTTCCGTTTAAAATTCACTGCATGCTACAGAATGCAGAACAGAGTAGAGTCAGTTTTTCTTTGGCAATCTCTCCATAAAAACATCCTATACTTGTTTTTTAAGACTTCAAAATAATATCTTTCTTAATGGGTCTTTGTCAAAAATAGCAAGCAGACAAAAAACTATGTACAATATGAAAAACAGTGTTTAAACCAGAAAAACTATGATGATGCTTATTCTGAAGTCAAAAATGTATTTCACGTGTCACTAAAAAAAAAAGTAAAATGTATTTTCTTCTTCTTCATGAGAAGAGAGAAAATAAGTATTTCTTTCAGCAATAGAAATGCTAAAATATTAAAAATGTTAAAGGCATTGAAGAACTGTACTGTGGTGCTATTAACTGAAAAAGTTCCACCTTTTCTGTCCTTTTACATTAGGTCAGGACTTGAGTTATCAATATGATCAGTTATTGTACTTAATATCATCTTTTATTGCAATTATGTGAGTTTCAAAGTTAGAATTATCCTGGGTCTGATCTTTCTCATCTGGTTTTATTTCCATATACATAAAATCAAATAAAGATCTTCTCTGTATCGTGTTTACACAAAGGATATGTTTAGATGAAGACACGATGTCTTCAGATAACCAGCCCTTCCTCCCTCACACTTTAACAGAACTAGTTGTGGCTGAATGAAATGAGGCTGGAAAAAAGTCTGCCATCTTATCTTCATGGCACTGTCTTTTTGTTAGGAATGCCTCCAATTTAACAAGCAGGCATGTCATGCAAGCAAACCATTCAAGGAAGTTTTGGTTCTCTTGTTTAGAGAACTTGCAGAATTAGTAACACCACAATTGTGGGGGTTTGTTGTTGTTGTTGTTGGTTTTTTGTGGGTTTTGCCCCGCAATGTTCATTCTGTCTTTCACAGTGATCTCATTAAGTTTCTTTGACGTCCTTGAAAACAAGCAACTCAGGTGGTTCGTGGGAGACACTTTTCTTCCAGATAAACTGCACAGGTCAGGATGAATCCTCACTGTCTTTGCCTTGGCAGAACTCACAGCTTTAGCATTGGTGCGCATGAGTTGGTACCAGTCCCTGCAGTATGTCAAAAGATAGGGAGAATAGTGCAAGTAAGAGATGTGGCAATGATGACATTTGATATTTTTGAACTGTGGAGGGATTACTTCATGGGGGAAAAGGGTTGAAGTATCTGCTGTAAAATGTCTTCAAATGATTTTTGGCAGGATAAAGCTATAAAAAATGAGCTATAAACCAAAACTTTTCCCTCTAAGTTTCCAGCATTCATTTCTTATTCCTTAGCTGCTCCTTCTTTGTTTATTTAAGCAGCAAATGTTAGGGGCAACTTGTTCAAGACTCAACTCTGAAAAGTGATTTGTAATTGTTGCCTTCTACAATGTATTCAGTTTCATACATTGCTCCTTTAGGTATGCAAGGTGTGTTAATCTGTTTTATTTCCTAAAGTTTCTTCTTGGAAATGAACTTTGTACCTCCTCGTGTCTTAGCATTTTACCTGTGTATTACACATAATGACTTCACATCATGCAGAGACAACAAACCAGAGAGTATCGGCCTGCGTTGCTCCAGGTAAGTACTTGTAGTAGTGGGAAAACAAAATTCAGTGTTTTCCCCTCTGGTTGCAGAGTAGACTGACATAAGCAGATCCTGTATGTTATTTTCAAAGAGAGACATCTGTGACCTTTTCTAAAAAAAAAATGGACTGCTTTTTGAAAGGATAATTATCAAAGGCTATGTCTGCCCCGAGGGGGAGAGAGAACGGGGCTGCTGTCTTGCAGAGTCCAGCACTCTCCTCCCCGAAGACTGGGTGCTTCGTTGCCCCCCAGTGTTCAATGACATTATAGCACTTCTCCAAGGCGTAGGAGCTGCCTTTCCTTGCATTGCTTTCTTACCTCAGTCCTGTCCCTTTCTGTTTCATCTTACTCTGAAGTCTCCTTATAGTGGTGCACTGCTGCACTTCAGGGTGGTTTTTTTTGTTTTTTTTTGGTTTTTTTTTTTTTGTGCGTTCCTAGCTGTAACCTAGCTGCGTAATGCCAATGATGACACTGACATATGGACACATGGTGGTAGGAACCCACCAAGCACATGCTTAGCATCTAGCTCATGGTAGAATCTGACCTTCAAAACCTTCAGTGCTAATGCCAAGAGTCAATCCTGTAGCGCAGCTATCCCCCGTCTGTTTGGCAGATGATTTTTTTGTTGCATTGGTTCCCAACAGATAAGGTGCATCGGGAGGCAGGGGCAGTGGTCACATCACACAGAGAGGACATTTTGCTTTTCAACATTCAAATCTGATTTTTCTTTTCTTTTTTTTTTTTTTTTTTAATAAAATAAATGCCATCTTGCAATACAAATTGCAAGTTACCAGGATCCAGGGATTTTGAGGGCTGAAGTACTTGTTTCTTTAACAAGTGCTGAAATTCCAACATAACATGCAATTCCAATAAGTAGACCTTTAAGAAATATATCCCAAATATTGTTAGATTGCCATAACATTGCAAAACATGGCAATAAAACAACTGTTAGAACTACACTTATCTCTGAGAGAGAGATGGCACCTTATCAAATGGTGCTGTTCTTTTCTGAACAAGAATTTTGCTTTTTGGAATAT